GAGAGATGATTGGGCCGCAATCACACTCAACCTCCAGGTTTCTTCCCTTAATCAATTATTTAATTAATAATACCTGCTTTATATAGGCTGGGTGTGCCCCAGGAGGCTTTCCTGATCCTATGTATGATTTTACAGAAGAAATAATTAAATATAAAACTACACCACAGTCGGGCTCAAGCCTAGAATCTTGAGAATAAGAACCCAGTGCCTTACTCACTGAGCTATCCCCCTCGCTTAATGGAGACAAATTATACAATATTAAACATTTTAATATATTTTTAAAAAGATTTTCAGAATTTTAATTGGAGATTTGTAACTGCAAAATATAACCAATACCTCTACGATTGAAACTTAGATTAAAAATGAGGAATGGTATCAGATGTATTTTTGAAATCTTCAATAAAAGTCCTTTTGTCCTCGATCCAACTGGAGCTTATTGTAACGTTGTGGTTTAAGGAAGGAAATGCGACTCCTGGGCAGCTGTTACAGGATGTTCAAATTGATCCTTCCTTTGATAAGGTGTCCTTCATTAAGGAAATTATAGAGATTTGGTCATGTGCTTCTGGCAATGATCTAATCCATTTATATAACATTACCTTCATTTAATACAGGCCTAAAATAAACCAATGATTTTGAAGCTAATTTCTATTGTCAATAAATTAGATTTATAAAATTCTTTTGTAAAAGGATTGTTTTTATATTTCGTGTTTGTATAAAATTAGAATTTTACATAATGTTTAGGAAAAATGCAATGTTACTTAAGAAAAAAAAATTTCAATCAGTCCAATGCCGAATTCGAACCAGCTTCACTGGAATCGAGACTGTTAAAGTTAACGCTTTAACACGCTTGGTCATCACGACCTAAAAAAAATATAAGTGCTTAAAAAAATATATATATATAGGAGAGGAGTCTGTAGTAGATAAGTAGAAAGTAAATTACATTTCGGAATCTCATCTACAACGCGATTATGTGATCTTGTGCCCATCTACTTTTATAAAGTAGTACACTTACTTTTGTAGGTTGGTAAATAAATGCATGGAGGATGACCTGGGGCCCACACGTCAAAATGAAAAGACAGACCTTAAACAAGCGACTGAAAATACTGTATTCACTTTTTTCTAAATTGAAATTGAAATTTCGACAAAAACTAAATTTGCGGTTCGGCAAAAAAGACGCACTTACAAAAACTGCAGTCATTTCAATCCAAAATTTTACGACTTATGACAGGAGCTCCCTGGTACGTCAATAACAAAACTTTACATAACGACTTACGACAACTATACACCAACACATACGTACTCTGTACTCTCGTTTTCATCTCAAAATACATGGACACACAAACAGAATTATAAACGACATGGCTACGACTGACATACCCATCAGGAGGAGACTAAAAAGGAGCTGGATGAGAGATCTCCTCGCCTAAATCAAAGTAATAAATAGGAAGAGGTACTGCTCGGTACTATCCTTCCTCATGCCTATAATGCCAACCTCATTATTATAACACATCTGCTGATCGTCAATTCGATGACAGGTGCGGATAAACAGTTAAAGATAAAAAATAAATAAAAATTATCATATCGTAATATTAACTACTCATTTAATTGATTGATTTAAGGTTTTAAAAAAACTAAAAAAATAAGGAAACAACAAATATATTTTACTTAACATAAAAAAAAAAAATCTATCGAATTTAGCCGTTTTTTTTTATTCTGCCTCCCGCGGGAAAGTACCCCCTCCTAGTTTTGGCCCTGAACTGAACGAATCCTCTTACAATAGTGGCAGGATGTTGGAGGTGGTTTTGTAATAAGAATGAGTGAGCCGTGCGTGGCCTATTTTCAACTAGGCCAGGGTGACCTTTTCGCTACTCTTCCATGTACAAACTATATATTATTATCTATTATAAGATAAAAAATTGACAATATAAAATTATTTAATATTTACTTAACATGAATTAAATATTGAGGGAAAGTATTACTCTCATTGCTTTATCGAATTCCAATTTTCAACGCAAATACACGTTTTGAGATTTCCTGAGTTCAAAAAAACCAAGTTTGTCAAAATACTCTGCATTTATGAACAACGTAGCTCAAAGACAATAACTAAGAAACTCAAATTACATATTTAAGGCATGTTTATCACTAGTAAATTGCACACAATTTTCGCCAACTTCACTGAAAGTGCCAGTTTATATTATCGAAATTACACATTTTTCTCTAAAAGGGTCTTAACGATTTTTATTAAACTGTTATATCATTGTAAAATGTAGTTTGTAATATCAGACCGATATTATCTTCATTAAAACAGGTTGTCAACAATTTTTTTAGGGAATATTCATAATTTCTTTCAAAAAAGTTTTTTTTTTTAATGAAGTTTACAACTGTATTACATAGAAAATACAACAAGTAAATGTGACATTGGTAACATACAACATGAAGAGAAACTACCCATTGGTAGAACTCAAATTAAAGTTCTATATTAGAAGGTCCCGAGGCCATCTTCTTTTCAGACGCCTCGAGGGTTATCAGGGATCGAGGAGGAAGCAAGGTTTGAAACGAGAGGATTCGGATGGTTCTGCAGTTTGTTATGGAATGATAGGTATCTGGATTGGGCCCAATCTGAAACATATGGAACATTAAGGTCTTTATGGATGATTTTAGTTGTGACAAAGTACGGAGCGTTAAGGATTTACGAAGGATTTTGGATTGGAAGGATTGAATACGAGAGGAATTCGATGGTTTAGTGGAGCCACACTAATCCTCCTACATTTAAACAACTTAATTAAATACAGACTTTCCTGTTGTTATTTATTGTTATTACTGTTGACATATTTCACTTACACATAGTTTTCAAAAAAGGTTTTCATGTTAAATGTTGAGGATCTACCTACTAATATATCTATATCTATAATATATATCAACTGATAATTATTCTTTTTCAACCTATTTCATAATACATATTTTGAATAAAGCTTTCCAAAAGATCCACTTTTCTACTTCATTGATTTCTTTATTTTTAATTTGTCAGTTAACAAGCAATTTTTTTTCAAATTCATTCAATCTATATCCTCTTCATTATTTTGAACCTGGCCATAATTATTTGTATGGTTATTAATTGTCTTAAATGGACAAGTTATATCGCCAAAATTTTTATTTCCAATTCCCTATTTGGGAATCGAAAATGTTTCTACTCAAGTGAAGGTTGTGTGGTGCGCAGCGCCAGATTTTTATATCGGAAGATCAAAAAACAAAAGCTTTAGCCTCTCAAACAGAAGTAAAGAACCACCAGTCAACGTTTCGCCGATTTGTACCAATTTCGAAGCTGCTACTTTCCTGCAATTTTCGTTCAATAACACAAAATTCTGCTTAAGATAAGTGAACACTCCTTAGGACTTTCAATATATCCTTCCTATAGATTCCATATCCTTGGCACTGGTCTGTGAAGAAATGTCCGTTTCGATACGAGCAGACACCTCAAGGTCCGAACCGTGTCACGAGATACGAGATCGACCATATAGAGAGAGGTCTTTATGAAAATCACTTATCGATTGCTAAGTTATCGATTACAGTCGGCTATCGATAAAGGTTATCGAGGTGGAAGAGTGCTGATCCTTACAACCTTTTGTTCCCAGACGGGTTTCGAAAACGCGGTGATGTGATGTTACCAGCCTTGGCACCATTGCGTACATCGTAGATGAATAGCAATTTTAAATTATACCTCATCGAAATCATATTATAAATATGTATTTTGTATTTATAGTAATGTATCGGTAATAGATATTTTAAAAGAAATCTTCAACATTAATGTGAAGCACAGCTTTAGTTCTAATTTAATGTTCAGTAAATTAGTCTTTTATAAATTTTTTTTAGAGTCAATTAGTTAATTATTCAGGCAAAACTTTGAAAATTCTGGCAGCCTATATGCCATATACTTGCATCAATATTAGACACCTAAGCCTTAGGGTCAACAGGTGTTTATATAATTAAAAAATCCAAAAATAAATTCTGCGCAGTTTTAAACTAATAAATGACAAAATTCAAGATAAATCAAAATTACTCCAAAATTCCCAACTTTCTCATAAAGAAAATGAATATCGAAACCTCTCTAAAACAAAATTGGATGCTACAGCTTATTTATCTGATTATCTATATTAAATTAATCTAATTTAGAAAAAAATCTTGAACTTTTAATAAACTCAAAAAAAAAAAAACTTAATCTTCATGAAAAATTTTAAACAAAAATTATAATCCTAAAGTGAGTAATTAAAAATAATGGTTAAGCATTAATCAATTATAGTTTATAATATTATACTAGACTGTTACATATTTATTTAAGTATCCATTTAGTTGCCCAAGATATGGTATAATAATAATAAAAAATATGAAAAACATCTCTAAAAATATGCAGAGAATTTATTTTAGAAGCCGGTTGACTATAAAAAATAAAATTAACCAAATTTATTTTTTATTTAAATTAACACGAATCTTTTACAAAATAATTTTACAAGACTTTATTTTTCTGAACTAACCAACTGTAAGAATTTATTCATAATGATGTAGAGATGGTTGACCGTGATATGATATGAGAAGGAGTTGATCGGGGGGTGCGATCAAATAAATACTAAATTATACAAATAGTATTATTTAATTTTTTTGCCAATGTTTCGACCCACTTTGCAGGTCTTCATCAGGGCATAGAATGTAGCAGTGCTACACCCGATCAACTCCTTCTCATGTTAGAATTTATATTTCCCCACTTTATTATTTAATTGCTCATGATTTGTTAACTAAGTATAGTCTTTAATTGCTTTTTAAAATTTATTTTACACATATATTATTGTATTAAAAATTCTGCAAAAACTTTCCTCTTGAAACTTTAAATTCTTCTTATTTTTTTTTTCAAGTATATTTTAATAAATTTTGCCGAAATTTTAGTACAATATTTATGGTCCCCCTGCTTTGAAATAGGCAGCTGATATGTGTTATGGCTTCAGATCGCTATGGACTGTTCCGGCTTGCTGACCCTCCACTACGGCAAGCACCACACCTCCGTCGTAGAGGAAGTGAGACGATGGTTCGAAGGAGAGACTCAAGCTGACGTTAGTCTTCTCTGTGCTGGTGGCAAGTTAGCAGCACACAGGTAAACCTATTCTGACTATTGTCTATTTAAACATTATAAATAAATAAATGTAATATTAAGAAAATAATTTCCAATAAAAAGAAATTATTATTTGTTTTTTAATAAACCTAGTTTCAGTCATAAAATATTTTTAATACATTAAGATGTATAAGGATTAACAAAAAAAAAAAACTTTTTTAACTGCTACGAGTTGATTAGGTCAAGTGCTTAACTGCTACCAAACAAAATAAACAAGAAGTAACAGTGCAATAGAAATCATAAAAAAAAAGATCTATTCAAAAGATATTAACCTTATTAGATCTGCAATTGCAACTTACTTGAAAAGGAATAAACTGCAGTTATAATAAACAAACAATGTCATGTAAGAAATGTGTTAAAAAATAAATAAAATATGGGCCATTGATTGAACATATTAATTCATTATATCTTATATAAAGTTTCAATGTGACAAATGTGACGGTTACTGTATTAAAATATAATAACATCGGTGTTACATTAGTAAAAATTTTATTTTATACTCAGAGCCAAAGCTAAAGGGAGAAGAAGATGGAAAAATTAGCTTAAATATAAAATTAAAGAAGGGTGCTAAAATGAAAAAATTAATAAATAAAAGAAGTTCTTGTTTTTTTTTCTTTTTTATGCTCCAAAAAGAAAATTTTTTAAGATGAAAATATATTGTTTTTATAACTTTTTCATATTGCTTGAATTAGTTCAAATGGGGGTGCAGACAGGAAGATAATTAATAAGAGATGTCAATCTTGAAGTTTCCCCCATCATCCCAAAAACTAGTTGGCCTAGTGACACAATTGTTATTATTTCTTAATTAATTCAATTTCATATATTTATTTCATAGTCAACATCATTTCAGATATTAAGGTTCATTTTCTTGAAAAGTTAAATTTTTGATCTTTTAGAATCAATTTTGTTATAGAATAAAGAGTAATCCATTAGTTTTAAATTATATTTAAAACTTAATTATAAAAGCATATTTTATTTATGATAATATTGTAGTATAGTAATTAGTAATATGAAATTTATAGGCTTGTTCTCGCCTCTGCAAGCCCACTCATCAAGCGATTGCTGGAATCAGTGACAGAACCGCTGGTAACAATTCAGCTACCAGACGTCAAAGCATCACATATGAGGAACATGCTCGACTTTCTATACACAGGACAAACATGTGTACAGGTATGCTGATATAAATGGTAACTACTATTTATTTCACAATTATTTTTTATCAATCAATATGAATCAACTAATTATGAACGAGTTGTAAGTTGAAGTTTTATCTATTGTTTGATTTGAGTCCTAACTTTTTATGTTTACTTCATGTATAATTGGAAAAATGGAAACAAAACAGAGAAAACTTTTTTTTAGCTGAAAGTTTCTCAGGTTGTAGAAAAGCTCAGCCTTTACAATTTTTTTGGTGTCTCAAACGGCAATTATGGAAAATTAGTTGTACTAATTTAGTGTGGTCACGTTTTTTAAAAGAATAAGAAGGAATTGCTCAAAATTTGTTCAAGATAATAAAATTCTAAGTACACCATCATAAAGTAGACCAAATTTTTTGAGAAAACTGATCACATTTATTATGTTCAATGATAAAGAAACATTCAGTAGGACTAATACGACCACTGTACAGTGATATGCTGCTTGTGTATGGATACTGTAACTGCAGCAGTATAGCGGCCATATTAGACCTTGTAAAAGTTTCTTTTATCATTGACAAAAAAAAGTTTGGTCTACTTTATGATGGTGTATTTATAATTTTATTATCTTGAACATTTTTTGAAAAATTTCTTCTTATTTAATAAAAAAATGTGACCACTCAAAATTTTTTCTTAACTCCTTTTTCTTTCGTAATCAGCCCATGCATCAAATGAACTTTTTTGATGGAAATTTTGTCTTGAATCATCCTCCAAAGTTTATCCATGAAGAACTGAGACACCATGTATACTTATTGGTTGAACACATACATTATACATTTGTTCTAACAATAGTATTATCTATACTATAACGAATGTACTGAAACATATTTTATTTTTTAGCCAACGGAGGTCTCAGAGGTCATAGAGCTATTCGAACTGCTCGAAATCAAGTCAGAGCTGTGGGAGAACAAGGCGAGGAGTAGAAAGGACTCGTCGGGGAGCCGGGACAGGGAGGAAGTGCGCAGGAGGAGGAGTTCCTCGACTCCAGTCAACCTCTCGATCAATGCCAACTCGCCAGAACCTCAAGCGCAGGTTAAATCTGAGCCTCTGCAGGACTCTGAGCCACAGGTAGTTTGTCATTATTTAATATGTTTTCCGCTTCTTTGAGATTTTTCCCCTAAAAATTATTTATACTCCACCAATCATTCAATATAAATATGTCAATCACCCCTTTCGAATAGTGCAACCAGATTGGTTCAAAAGCATCCTAACACTGGCCCTCCTTCATGAAGTGTCGATGTTAGCAAATATATTGACCTTAACAGCAACACACACTTATTTAAAGTGAATAGAAACAGGCATACTCTACAAGACTTTAAAACTAATGACTGTAAAGAAACTTTATAACATGCAGCATTATCAAATTTTTTGATAGCCTACAATACGCGAATAATCCCCTGCTCATCTCTGATGGGACAGCGAAAGAGGTGGAAAGAGCTGCAAAAAGACTTTAATAGGGATTATTGACTAACTGGACTGACACAAGATAAATAGTGAGCACCAGCACTACAATATCTTTCATCTTATCATAATTACAATTTTCACCAATACTAACTCCTCATAACACTCTTAGAATTTATACGATGCAGTTCAATAACTTCTATCGCACCAATTTATTCATATCTGAATTCCAGAAGTGAGAAACTAAAACAGACTTGTAATTATATTATCTATAACCATAATATATCTTTCTTTCTCTAGCCGTAATATGAAGGGCTTAATGTCAAGGGTATTTATCATTAGTTTCTTCATCAAGCATTATATTGAAAACATATTTATACCATCCATTCCAAATTTGTTATTAAGTAAATTATTTATTCTTATTTGTTTCTTTATATTTCAGATTGTTGAAAATCTTAGTAAATCATCTTCCAATGTAAATAGTTATTCGCCAGGAGGTGAAACTACTGGTAGCGAAGAAGAGAGAGAGAAAGTAGTAGGATCTCGAATTCTTCCGCTTGCATATCAACCGTATTTACATTACAAACGAAAATCGAGATATATGGAAGACTATAAGTGAGTGGTATTTAAGCTTTTATGGAATATAATTATAAAAAAATAGATAATAATTACCTTTATTAAAAAACTGAACCTTTGGATTTAATTTTATATTATCTCTGTATTTAGAAGATGAATATTTAATTTTAAAATATCTATTCAAGCTGAGTACTATTTGAGAATGAATTAATTTTTAAAAACTCTTAAAAGACTTCAGAAATATAAAATAGAAACTAACTTTAATGTTACTCATTGCTTTATAGCTGAACATTAAAAATCTATAACATAAAAATAATACAACTTTGTAAGGTTTTAAAATGACGATATGTAGTAAAAATGCTGAAATATTGAATATAAATCAAAATAGATTAAATAATCAAATTATCATTTTACATCCACACATATTTTCTTAATAAAAACTTTTTCAACAAAATCTGTATTTTAAAACATCATTTTATTGTAATGTTTCGGTCTTAATTTAGAAAATCAACAATCATCACATAAAAATTGTTAAAATAAGTTAAGAAAAAGCTCATTATACAGTTATATTTAATACAATGAAAAAATCTATAAATAATTTCTTTCCTAATTAATTTTATATTATTATTTAATTATGTGACAAAAGGAAAAAGGAGAAACGCCTAAACAATTTTCTAAAACATTCTTTACTCAAAAGTTATCTATAAGTTTAACAATATTTATGTAATATTTTATTCAAAAGTTACAATATGTTTGAAATCATTGGTAAAATTTGAAGAATTACAGTTTTTTTTTCTACTATTAATACTTAAATGAAAATTTCATTTGTTTAATTAACTTAAGGATTATATATTAGCAAATGGACCAGTCAGTAGTATAATATAAAAATCAATATATTTTTTTGTTTTATTATTTTTGGCTCTATTATGTCTTTGGCTCTATCTTCAGAGGAGTTTTTTAAATTTTAAATTTATTTAACTCTTTTAAATATAACAACACTCTAAATATGTATAAAAATGTTATTTTTTTATAACTGACGATGGTTTGTATAAAATTGTTTAAAATTATTATGAAAATTACAATATTTGATTTTTTTTTCAAACGAATGTATTTAATAATTAAGAAATCATAAAATTTTTGGTGATTATTATTTTTTTTTTTACTTAAGTATCGCCAGTCACTGTTAGTAACAGTTACTTTTGGTAAAATAACAAATATCATTGATAAATCACATATCATGAAATAATAAATGTCTTATTGAATATTTATTGAAAATTACTATTAACCAATAGATAATAGAAAATAGGTTAACTTTGAGAATAAAAAATATTCTAAATACTTAACAATATTAATTTACAGGAGGCCAATAGTTTCTCATTGTCATTAATCATTATCATTAACTTTATCATTTTTGGCACTATAAAACTTCATTTAATGTCCTCAGAAATGTTTTCTTTTCCGGTTTTATATTCCTTTATACATCATTATTTGGAGGCCCTTCATTTGTGATAAAAGAATGTTATTTAATATTAAGTTCGTTTTTTTTTTTAAATTTCATAATCTCAATAAAACAATACCCCTTCAAGATTCAGGTTATAACCTCAATAGTACAATTGCAATAATTTATTAAATCGTGTGTATTTGGAAAGTCAGTTATAGTTCTAAATAAGTAACAAAAAAGTAACTGGTGATGTTTAAGTAAAAAAGATCCGGTTATTATTATTATTGATTATCCTATTATTTATTTATTTATTTATTTTTTTTGTTTAGGTCTAATCTTGAAGAAGAAGACACAGTCAAAATACCTGATTTAGCACAACCCTCTCCAGAAAACTATGTTGTTACACCACATCGGAAGAGAAGACCGGGCTTTCACAACGCTCCCGCACAAAACCCACCGTTTGTCCCCTTCTCTCCTTCTTACGTTGAGCGAGGGCATTGGGAAGAAAGCCCCTCTTCCAGGCCGCTTTCTCCATCGCGACTCATATACCCTGAGCCATGGGGCCGAAGTGCATGGGCTCAGCCACCACCGTTAATAAGGAAAGAAGAACCGCCACCTATACCACACGGTTTGTATTATGAAGCTTGATATATATTATATAATACTATATATTTTTTTATTACTAATTATATTGCTTTATTAACACAAATCAGTAATTTGACAATATAACATATCAATTATATGGAGAATGATCAGTAATAATAATGTTTGCTGGTCTGCAAACAGCTTTCATAAAAATTAAATATGTTTATTTATATCCAATACTGGACTTAATGGGTGGGTTACCATAATCACAACCAAACCACCTTTTTGCCTAGAAGCATCACCTGCTTACTAACAAGGGATGTTGCGGACATAGGGTCATCAATTTCAATGAAACTTTTTTTGTGATATTAGGTCAAAAAATATTAGATCCTTGTCAGAAGGCTATTGCGGAATGCTTTAAGAGTTGAGAAAAAAAATGTATACAACTTAAAAATTTCCTTGTATTATTATTTTATACCTTTGCTCTGCATGTATTTCTAGTTTATAATGTAGCAATCAATTTTTTTTTGTGTGTGTGAAATAAGAATAAATTGCTGTCAATTATATTAAATAAATTCAAATGTGTGAAAAATATAAAACCAAAAGACAATTCCAGTTAATTAGGTAAAGTACATTTGGGTTGTAGGAGTACACAGTCGTTTTATTTTTTTATCTCTATTAAAGTACAGTTTTCTGTGTTCTCTCCCAAAATTAAATAGACGGCTGAAAGCCCATCGGTAAATCGAAATCTTGATATCTGAAACAAATCTCAATGAATAAATAAAATTCTTGTTACTAATTAATTATAAAAAAAAAAATTGAGAAGTTAATAGGGAATAATAGATAGCAGGATAGGAGGTGATTTGACCGAGCTCACGCTCAACCTCCAGGTTTTCCCTCTTAATTAATTTTTTAATTAAGGGTACCCACTTTATAGAGGCTGGATATGCCCTCCCAGGGTTGCCACAGGCCCAGAACAAAACAGGTTCAGGTTCAAAATGTTGATAGAATTTGGAAAAGAAATAAGTAAATGCAATGTATTGTGAGAGAATTTTTTTTTTTTTATCAGTTGATTATAATTGTTAATTATTGAAAATAATAAACCATAACAAGTGCAAATTATAATTAGCCTTATCTTTGCTAATAATGGTCCAATTTTTGTTGGGTTTTTTTTTGTTGGGAATTTTGTTATTGTTCAAATTATTATCGGTATATTCATTGTATTTAATGACATATTAACAAAGATATGGCGTATCAACAAAAAAACTTCTTTGAGAAATAATATACAAAAATTCTAGAAGATGAAATTGACGAGTTGATTTAAGACATAGGTTCTATCTTTCACCTTGACCAAGAAGTGACATGTGAAAAATTAGTTCTGAATATTTGATTTTTTTTTAAAACTGTTTAGTCCATAGATCCAGTTTAGTGGTTCTGTTTTAATTTATTAATAATGCTACAGAAAAGCCCTTTTAAGTATGTAATTTTGAAGAATACAAATTATATATACATAGTAATTCTTTAAAATATATTTAGAAATGACAAAACTTATTATCATTTGACAAAATTAATAGGAACCCTGAATCAAATGAGGAAAGCATTCAAAAATGGGTGACGAATTAATCTGAACTGGAGTAGTAACAACTGACAGACAAACAGATGCGACATTAAACTGCTTACTAATAACTGTAACTATAAGAATTCTTCTTTCAGGGTAATATAATTATTCATAAAATTTAAGTTCAATTTTAATAATAAAAAAAAAACTAAAGAATTTTTTGTTGTTCAGGTGGAGGAAGCGAAGGAGAAGAAAGCAACAAAGCACCGACGAGAGAATATCGCTGCGAGTATTGCGGCAAACAGTTCGGAATGTCCTGGAACCTCAAGACCCATCTCAGAGTCCACACAGGAGAGAAGCCTTTCGCCTGTAGACTCTGCGTGGCCATGTTCAAGCAAAAAGCGCACCTGTTGAAACACCTTTGTTCAGTTCACAGGAACGTGATATCAGTGGGTGGTGGGGGTGAGAGTGGGGACTCGGGACATTTCAACTGCTGCTTCTGTCAGCTGACATTTGAATCGCTTCAAGAGCTGATACGTCACCTGTCGGGGCCCCACAACAACCTCCTCCTCAGCAAGAACCTTCCGGAGGGTCTCTGAGACCGACTCAAAGAAGACTCCGTCCCTAAATACTCAGTGTACTTAATAGTCATTGTCGGAGTAATAATGAGTCTCATCGGGCCTGCATATCAATGGGTGATCGTAAACATTAGAAAAAGTTCGAATATATTTTTAATTTTTAATAAATTGAAAATGGGAACACCCAAATTCACCCTCATACCTCATAGTATTCGTAAACTGTATGTGATGAAAAATTCAATATAAAGTTACCAACATCACGAATGGATTCTTTTAATTTATAAAAAAAAATTAGTTTTATTTTTATTAGTATTATGGATAAAATCGAAAAGGTTTAAAAATATTTTTAAGATACCTTTTGGAAAAGAAAGATATGTATAATAAAAGAGAATGTGATTGTGTGTAAATATAAAAAAAAAAATTATCGGCGAAGACAATAAACATTTCTACCTCATAAAATACTATTTTTATTTCCAAAATTATATTTAGTAACTAAATATTTTTTAAGTATTTTTGTATACCTGGAAGTAAATTTTAAAATTGTGAGCTATAAATTGGAATAATTTCCAATATTATAAATGTAAAGTTCAGTATTGTACAAGAAGTAATGCTTTCTGTACAGATTTATTACCAACATATCCCACAAGTTTATATAATCACTATTCTAATTGTGATAAAAAAAAAATGAAATAGACATTCTTTCCTTTGTCATTTCAATGAAATGTTGTAAACAAAATTTGGATTATAAATTCATCATATTGGTGTGTTAAGAAAATTTAGTAAAAGAGAATGGTAATCCTCAAGCAGGACAGATATTTTCATAATTTTGTAAATACAAAGTTAAAATCAAGAAGTGGAAAATAACATTAGTTTAAATTTTAAAAAATATATATATATATGCACAATACTTTTTATATTACACCGTAGTTAATACTAGAATTCAAAACCACTAATATCTTTAATTAGCTTAAAAGCTCTGCGTCATAAATAAAACCAATCGTGGACCAGTAAAAAGACAATATATACCACAAAAAAAATGTTAATTAATGTTAACACATAAATATGTATATGTAAAATAAATCCAACCTGTGATATTGCAACTTAGTTTCAATTCATCGTTAGAAAAAGCTAGGCATAATAATTAATAATGTCTGTGAAAGACAGATCTAAATAAAAACTCACGATTACTTAAGAAAATTAATTTTTTTGCGTGAGTTCGAGTGTGTTCTACCTCTCTTCTAAGATTTAAATATACATTATATTATCATTCATTATAAAAAAAATAAAAATAAATGCTTGTTTAATTTTTGATAAGAAGGTGTTTAGTTGATTATTTAGAAAGGATCTCATGTCAAAAAAAAGGAGTTTGTTTTCTTATGTCATTAAGAAGAGTTTTTTGTTTTATCTTAGAAAAATTACATTTAGAAGAGAGAAAATAGATTTTAGTACAAATGCCTAATGTTTAGATGTGTTCATATTTAAAGTGCTAAAACTAAATGAGGTTGTAAATATTATATATACACATAAGTAATAAATAAGTTATTTTTTCTGTAAATATTTGTGTAATTAATAAATTGATTTTTTTCAGAAAGAAAATTACCTTGTTTTAAATCAGAACCCATATTGTTTCTTCCTTTCAAATATTTGGAGGAAGAATATTATTTCTATCTTTCAAAAGAGTGCCATTTAATGAAAATTGTATTTTTTTCTGAATTTTTATTTCAATATTTAATGCAAATACAATTTATTTTAGTTTGTTTAATGAAAAATTGCTACAATTTTTTTAATGATTGATATTCAAATGTTCAAAAAATTAAGATTAATAAAAAAAAAGATTTATTTAGACCAACTTCAAACGTTTTTTTTCTTCTTAAAATTCTATTATTTATTTTTACTGTGGTACTCTTCTTCCAAGTGGACTATTTAAAAAAAATATTTTAACAGTTTAGAATAGTCACATAAAACCATAAATTTAAAGCATTAATCATTTTATATTAGTAGTGGTAGAATAGTAGGTAATGATTTCACATATACAGATATAACTCGGAATATAGTTGAGTTTTTCATATATTTTTTGTATTGATGGTTTGTAATAACAAAGAAAAACAAAATTCAAGAGTAAATAAATGCTGAGTATGTTAACGATGGGAAACACTTCATTATTATTTAAGGAATTTTAGAAGAGGAGTATTTATTTAAGAATATAAAGATAAATCTATTTATTCCATCTAAAGTTAGAATTTTGCTGGTACTGCTCACCATAGCTATTGGAGCGACTGGTATAGGTTACTTCCAACCTTTAAGGCTTCTACACACAGAATGCGATATGTCCTGGAGATATGATACCCCTTTGTCGGTATTGTTACGGATTATTGTGTTCTGTGTAACTGCTATGGTACAATATACTGAGAGTTTCAGGGTTAAGTGGTGTGAGTGTAAAAATGAACTAAGGACATCAAAACAAAAAATTTCCTCTGATGGTACAATTTCTTTAATGATTCATATTCAAATGGTCAAAAAATTAAGATTAATTTTTTTGAACATATTTATTTAGACCAACTTCAAATGGTTTTTTTTCTCTTAGAATTCTACTTTTATTAGTAGTGACCTCAAATCAAATGCTTTGTTAAGGAGATATTCACACCTAAAGATTTTCGTTGTTATGAATTATTTGCGTTATATTAACTAAATAAAACATATTTATTTGTTCTATCTACTTTATTAGTTAAATGTTATTAATATTAACATTCATATTAAATGTTGTTTCAAGTTATTTCCTTGAGCATTAAGACAGGCTCAGCATCTTTCTTCAACAGCAGCAGTGGCAAACGACACTGGACATGTGTTTTTGTTTCACAAGGGTGACATTAAACAAAAAGTCTATGCAAGTCTGGTAATTACCTTAATTCCTTACAAAGAAGGGTAATTGAATCTTGTGAAACCATAACACATATCCAGTGCCGTTCTGCCACTGCTACTGTTGAAAAACGATGCCGAGCCTGTCTTAATGCTCAAGGAAATCACTTTGAACAACATTTAATATGAATGTTAAGGTTTACATTTAATTAATAAAGTAGTTGGAACTAATAAATAGGTTTTATTTATTTCATGTTACATAAATAATTCATAACAATGAAAATTTTTAGGTGTGAATATCTCCTAAACAAAGCATTTGTGAACATACCATCAGAGAAAATTTTTCTCTACTAATACACTTAACCCTGAAACACCCTGTGTAGTAATACAACTAAATCACCATATCGCACCCTGAGTGTAGCAGCCTATGCTGCTTATGCTATTAATTTAAATTGCTCATCGTGGCAGCCAATTACTCTTGTATTACTTACACCTTAGTTTAAAATGAAAATTCTAGGCTTAAATTTGATGGTTTTCATTTGTATCACAAGACAAGGAACTCGTACGGTGATGGAGCTTCGATCTTAATTTAATCAATACACACCATTTTATTTTGCCTATTGTTTTAAGTTGAACAATAAATCTAAGATTCTGCCTATACTTTAAATTGTTAAAAATTATCTCCCCATAAACTACATATCAATACCCACCCTTTGTCATTGTTTCTTCTAATATTTCTAAAATAAAATATCAATCTTGTGATAGAATTAATGAAATATTATTTTAAGGTTTAAAGGTATATCTTTGATTTTAAATCTATTAATAATTAATAACGAGATAATTTCAGTAAAAAATATATATTTGTGATGAAGTTCAACAAATAATGTTTTATGATTAAGTGATTAGTAAATCAGCATTTGAATTAAAAAAGACATAAAAAGTTTACAATATTAGGATTTCAGTATTCATTTAGCATTAAAATTTGTTTTCATTATTGAATTTATCTAATGTTAATTGGATATTAAAAAATATATAATTAGACCTAAAATGTAATAAATGCTCTTTTTACATCAATGCTATATATTTGCTAGAATTTGTTTAAATTAAAAAAAATACAAGGCATTTCCCTTACATAATCATTAAAACTCTTTTCCGATATGACAACATAACATACAACTGTCATATCAACAACTGCTTCTGAAGCAGTAAGGAAATGACATTGGAAACAAAATATACTCAGTTTTGTTTCTTTGAAGCAGTATTTAACTGCCAAGCAGTAGGGTGGACATAACTAGTAAAATTATAGCTTACAATACAATAATAATAACTTGTATTTAAAACTATTCAAGGTACCAGGTTCGAATCCTGGTTCATGATAGAAAAAATATTTATTCTGTTTCATGGGCTGTGGGGCGATTCTGCGTTCAGGAAACCCTCCTGGGGCACACCCAACATCTATAAAGTGGGTACCCATAATTAAATAATTAATCAAGGAGGAAAATTTGGTGGTTGAGTGTGATCTAGGTCAAATCTCCTCCTTTCACAACCATTGATCAAGAAACAGTGCTTTCCCTAAATAGTACTGAACCTCCAAAATACCAAGTGAGGCTGAACACATTGACCAAACTTCTCTTCAATTAAAAATTAATGAATTGTTAAAATTACTTATAATAATAAAAATAATCCTTTATTTGAATTTCCTGCGGTTATTGCAAAATGTCAATATAAAAATTCAGTTTTTTTATAGATGAGCATAAAATCTATCATTTCTTTACGATTTATTAGTATAATTTTTATAATTTAATTCCCTCTGTTTTTTTCCTGTTTAGCAGACTACTTATAGCAGTCGCAGACTACAAAATATCACCTTTAGTGCAAAGAAAATAAACATGTTAAATTGTTACATAGTTTTAACCTATAGTTAGTACCTCTTGCACTAATAGCTTTACTTCTAATCTATAATTTGATTTTCCATAGTTAGTTCTTCTCTGATTATCCTAAGTATAGAACGTTACACACCATTTTCTGTTGTTCATAGTTTTTGCATGATTTTTTGTTCTATTTCCATATATCTCAGCTATATATTAGGAATGATAGAATTATAGCTTCCCATAAATATTTTTTTTAAATTTCATATCAACCTTGTTTTTCTAAAAGATCTTCCA